AAACTGAACAGGTGGGTCTCACACGTGTCTAATTCGTCAAGAGAAAGGAGGAGAATAAGAAGAATAAAAGAATCTTTAAAGAGAAAATGACAGGATTTCCTAGAATTGATGAAAAACAAATTCTCTGATTAGAGAACTAAAATGAATCCCAAGAAGATAAATGAAAAGCAACCCACATTGAGAAACTCGAACATGAAATTGTACAATACTAATAATAGAAAGATCTTCAGCCAGCCAGGGAGGAAAGATGGATGGCCTGCAAAGGACAACAACATTGGAGAACAGGCTGACTTCTCCATGGCAACCATGGCAGCCAGGAGACGTCCGCAAAGTGCTGATGGGGTGGGGGCATCCAACTGGAATTTTATGCAAATGTAAATGATAAAAAAGGCATATTTGGATAAAAACTCAGAGTTCATACCAGAAGACAGCCACCAAAAGAATTCCTAAAATGTGTGCTTAAAAAAGGAATCTCATTACAGAAGAGAGATCTAAGTTGCAATGAAGAATAAAAACAAAATCCTCCATAAACAAATGGAAAAATATCAGAAAAATATTTTTAATAAAAAATACTGTATTAAAGGGGCTTCGGTTCTAGCTCAGCAATAGGACACTTGCCTCGCTCATGTGGGATCCTGGGTTTGATCCTCAGCACCACATAATAATAAATAAAATAAATAAAGATATTGTGTCCATTTTTTTAAAAAAAACTTTCCTTTAAAAAATATACTGTAGGGCTGGGGATGTGGCTCAAGCAGTAGGGCGCTGGCCTGGCATGCATGCGGCCCGGGTTCGATCCTCAGCACCACATACAAAGATTTTGTGTCCACCGAGAACTAAAAAATAAATATTAAAAATAAATTCTCTCTCTCTCTCTCTCTCTCTCTCTCTCTCTCTCTCTCTCTCTCCTCTCTCTTTAAAAAAAATATACTGTATTAGAGATTAATTGAGAGAAAAAAAGCTCTAAAAGACAAAAATACAAGGAAAAACAAAACATCCCCATTTACAATTGGGAAGCTTAAACACAGCTCTTTCAGTAGTTGACCAATATAGTAAATCAAGAAATTAGCGAGTAGAAGACTTGAAAATGTCAATCAAGATGCTTAATATAGGGCTGAGACTGTGGCTCAGCAGTAGAGCGCTCACCTAGCATGTGCAAGGCCCTGGGTTCGATCGGATCCTCAGCACCACATAAATAAATAAATAAATAAATAAAGATATTGTGTCCAATTACAACTAAAAAAAAATTTTAAAAAAGATGCTTAATATAATAGCTAAATGTCAACCAACTGAGAATTCATATGGGTGATTCCCCAAATAAATCTTACATGAGGTCACAAAGCAAGGCTTAATAGATCATGATATAGAAAGGGTGCATAGTGTGTTACATTTGTATTTTAACAGGTAAATATGCATTCTCACAGAAAATATATACACACACACACACACACACATATATATATACATACACACATACACATATATATATATATATACATACACGCATACACATATATATCAGTGTGTCTTACTCTTATTAAAATTATAAATTAAGAACATACTTAGGCAGCTGTAAAACTGGTTTAGGATAAATATATGGAAATGTTATAATATTTAGAAATATATATTTCTTGAATATATCCAAATATTGTAAAACAACCTACTATCTATATGAAATAGATATAAGCTACTGTAAGCTTGGAGAGTGACCGGTCTGCTGTGGACTACTGCCATTGCAGAAGACTTCAAAAAGTAGGGAGGTTCTTCCTTAGATCTCGAGGTTCAGGAAGGATTGAGACTGGGAGAAAGTGGAAGGGCCTCATCTTTTGGGAGCTGTCCACTGAGTTTGTGATCACTGGCCTAGAGATGGACACCTGGCAAGAGATGGACACCTGGCAAGAGATGGAAGGAGCCTGGTGAAGGCGATCACCCCTGCAAAGGCAAGGACCCAACTGTCCTCAAAGGAGACACCAACCCACTTGGGAAATGCAGAGCTGGCAAAGATGAGATCTCACAAAGGGACTTTTGGAACTTCTTGACCTTTGGTCTTTGCCACCTCCTGCCTCCCTGCAGGAGCTGAGGTGATTTAGCTGAGCGTTTCCCTTCATCACAGAAGTGCAGATGAACATGGGTCCTCTCTCAGAAATCATGAAGACCCATTTAAAACCAACACAGTTCTCAACACCCAGACCTTGTTTCAAAACTGCTACTAAGTTGGCGTGTGTTGTAGCTGGGTCTGTGAGTACAGAGAAGGGTTGACTGGTATTCTTAACTGCCAGGAAGTGC